CTTCCTTCCTTCCTTCCTTCCTTCCTTCCTTCCTTTCTCTTTCTGCCACTCCCGCACTTGCAGTCTCTGTAAAATAAATATTAAAAAAAGAAAATGGGAAAAGCCCAGAAATCTGCTTTCAGAAATTAGATGGTAAGATTCTGACATCAGTTCTGTTACGTGGGCTTGCACCCCCCACACCAAGCAGTTCTGCGACACCAGCTGGGTGTAACTATGCTACGTTGTAACCCAGTTGGACACTGAGTTGAGGCAGCGTCAGACCCTGTGGGCCGAGGGCTCGGTTCCACAAGACGATGCCCCTCCTTCAGACCCCAGCGCCAAGACCAGCTTGTGGCCTGTGCTTCTGAGCTGTAGATGGGAGGTTCTGACCACCCCTTCTTCGGGTTTGGTGAACTTGCTTGAGCGTCTCTCAGAACTCACTTAGTAGATTCCCGGAGTGTTGGAAGGGACGCAGCTCAGGAACAGCCGGCTGGAAGGGGTGTGGAGCCTCCGTGCCCTCTCCGGGAGCACCACTCTGCCCGAATCTCCACGTGCTCACCCACCCAGAAGCTCACCGAACCCGGTCCTTTTGTGTCTCTACACAGGCTTTGTTACACAGGCACGGCTGATGGAATCATTGGCTGTTGGGGATCGATTCCGCCCCAGCCCCTCTCCCCAGAGGTCAGGTGTGGGACTGGAAGTTCCAGCCCACCCGTAGAAGCTTTGGGGAAGTCACCTCATTCGTACAACGAAAGACACCTGTGTGGGCCTCATCACTTAGGAAAATTAAAGGGTTTTAGGAGCTCTGCTAGAAAACCAAATACGTGTTTCTTACAATAAATCGCAATATTAAACAAGGATTAGCCAGAGATGAAAAGAAAGTTGAATCCCTTTCTCACCCGTTCTTTCATCTTCCAAGTATGTATTTTTAAAGTAAGAGACAGCATGAGCACCAGCAGGGGAGGGGCAGAGAGGGAGGGAAAAAGTCCCAAGCAGGCTCCCTCTGCGTTCAGTGCAGAGTCCCTGGGATCGTGAGCTGAGCCGAAGTCAAGAATCGGACGCTTAACCGACTGAGCCACCCGACGCCCCAACTACGCATTTTGAGAAATTCCAATCCCGGGTTCGTTCAGCCATCAACCTCCCTCCTGCATCCCCAGTCGGGGTGCTCTGGCACACCCACTTTCCCGCCGCTCCGCAGCCCTGGCCTGTGGTCCGGGGGCCTCGCGGTCTCCTCTGATCTGACGGTTTGCCCCCTTGGTTTATTTTCCTGGGTTTTGATAGCACTGACCTGTTGAAGAACCCGGGCCGGTTTGGTACAGCGCCCCACACTCAGTGTATTTGCTTCCTCGCACTCGGATCTGAGTAAACATTTGCCCACGAGCAGACCCCGGGGCCGCCAGTAGAGCGCCGCCGTGGAGGTTCTGCCCAGCAGCGGTGCTTCCTCAGGGCACCTGCTTGGCCGCGTCTCTGCTTCTGCGATCGCTGAGATCTGAGGGTGATGCAGAGTGTGCTCTGAGGATTTTTGCCTGGAACGGTGGCTCTGTAACCGTCCTTCCTCCATGTTCCCCGGCCGGCTCACTGGCTGGCCTTCTCGAGAAGAGCCCTCTCTGCCTTCCTTCTCCTCATTTAACTGAGCCACCCAGGTGCCCCTTTCTCCTTATTTCGATTTGGAAACTTTGTGAGTCACTGGACTTGTGGATTCTCTTTTTATTCAGTGGGTTATGCATTACACGTTATGGTCCTTACTCATTGTTCCAAGTACGGTGAGTGGACACCCCTTCAGGTTCGTGCTGTTTTCTGACGTGCTCTGTCATCGTCATTGTCCAGTCCTCCGTTTGGGCGTTAACTAGATTCAGGCTCATCTTGCACTCTCTCTGCCCCAGGCCTGGGGTCGGTGGTTTCCCTGAGGAGCCCCAGTTCCATGTAGTGGGGAAAGGTGTTCAGAAACCACGGACCGGGTGCTGCTGGAGCATCCCCGTCCACACGACCAGCCAGCCCCCTTGTTAGCACGTCGGTTAGGGATCACCAGCAGGTGTAGACGGCAGATAGCAGCGTTCATGAGGGAGGGAAAGCATCTCGTTGCTGAGGGGCCCCGTGCCTCCACGGAGCCGTGTCGTCGCTGGGCGCACGGCTGTGTTTGCTTGTACGGTTTCACGGGACACTTTACTTCACAGTAACAACTGTCTATCGGACGTGCATAGAAAACGTTTGATTCTGTTTTTTTCTCTGTGGGTGGCAGGATTAATCGTCGTATTTTCCAAGTTTGAATTGTGTTTAAGCCCTTGGCTTCTTATCCCCTTTTCCTAAGACCAGATGATTGTGTACTTGTTTTTGTCGGGTTACCGTCCGCCTGCCCCTGTTCGGCCCTTGAAAGCCCGTCTCCATCTTTCAGGAAGGTTGTGCAGGGGCGGTCTTCCGTGCGCGGGGGCCGCCGCGCTTCCTGCGGATCCCGGCCGGCACTGTAACGGCTTCCCCGCGGGAGCCGAGGTCAGCAACAGGCTGGCACCGTGGAGACCCCTGGTGCTTCTCATCCCCCTGCGCCTGGGGCTCACGGACATCAACGAGGCCTACGTGGAGACTCTGAAGGTGGGTGGGGGCCGGCGTCTTCTCGCCCACCAGCAGGGGGCTCGAGATGCCGCTTGTTGCTAAAGCCCTGCTGTCGTGGCCATGCCGGCACCCTGTGGACTGCTGGCCCCGCTCCCGGCAGTCCTGACCGCCTCTCCACTGGCCGCTGCGCCTCTGCTCCCCTGCTCCCCCTGCCTCCGGTCTCCGCCAGCACCCAGCCTCGGGGCACCGCTC